TTGTACATAGGGTCACTATGTGGAACCGACTCAATGGCACCTAACAATAACAACAACATACAGTCAAAATGCCCCTTAGAAGCAAGGATGGTGAGACTATATTTCACATTCTTTGGACGTGTTGTGAGGAGGAACCAGTTCCTGGAGACGGCCCTATGCTTGGTAGGTAGAGTTTCAGCAGTAAAGAGGGAGATTCTCAATGAGATCAACTGATGCATAGGTCGGCTCTTGCATAACAATGATTGTGAGGAAGGCAAGGACCAGGCAGTGTTTCTCTGGTTGCACTGAGGGTCTCTATCAGTTGGAACTCACTCTATGGCATGCAAAAACAACAACAATATTTATTTGAAGCTAATTTTGTTTCTGTGGCAGATAAATTGAAGTATTTCCCACTGTTTCTTTGCTTTAACTTGCAGTTAAACAACATTACAATTTCATCTTTAAATTACAACATTTGAAGAGTTGTAGTGTTTCCATTTTATATAAAGCTACTAAGTTTACCAATAATGTAGTCTTGGTGTGAAGCCGTGGGTAAACACTTGCACTAATGTCAGTTTGAACCTCAAGATTGTCAGTTCAAACTTACCAGCCACTCCTCAGAAACTATAGAGAGAGTAGCTATGAGTTGGAACCAATTCAAAAGCACTTAACAACAATAACTTATAATTTACAAATCTTATAAGCTTTCTAGCATCCTTAAGCTCATTTTTATCAGTTTAATTTTTTTTCTTTTTACTTTAATAGTATAAAACAAAATATGTACATGGTAAACCATACAGGGTCAATATGGGTCGGAACTGACTTGATGGCACTTAACAACAACAAAAATCATACATACAATGAAACAGTCTCCTCTCCCACCAATTCCACTCCCATAAGGTAATTACTGTAATCCATAACATTCTTCTAGATATTTAATAAATTCCAAATGACTTATTAGTTTCCTGTACCTGGATTTAAAAATTATGTATCTTGGAAATGCTTCCATATGAGTAATATCGATCTGCTACTTAAATATCCCATTTTATGTATGGATATAATTTCTTTGCCCAGTTCTCTTTTTAAAGTAGAATTATCTTCATTCTCTGCCATTATGAACAGTGGTACAGTGAACATCCTTATACTAAGCAAGGGACACAGTGGGCAAATACCATCTTCACTACTAACTACATGGCAAAGATGAACAGGATTCCAACTCCCACTAGGAAATGGATCCAGGCCTCACCTTCCCACTTTCTCTATCCCTATTGCCTGTCATTCCAAGTGCCACTCTCTCATCTCCAACAACTGGGGCCAGGTCAAGGGATACCAGTCTTAAGAATAGAGGTCCACATGACTCCCTTAACTTAGGACCAACTGGTACCTTCTGTCTCATATCCAGCCACCTGGAACTAGAGATGTGAACAATGGTCACAAATTCAGAAATACGGAATTTCCTCTAACTTCATACCAGCTCGCTCCTTCTCTGAATATAGCCATCTGAGCTAGGTCACTATGCACAAGTGACCTGTCCTTCAGATGGCCAGGTAAGCAAATGTCAACCCTTGTTGGCTCACTGTCCTTGTGGGTTCCTTAATTGCCTCAGTAACTCACTGAATCATGGGAGCTACCTTCACTTACAATTACCTATTTATTATAACCAGAAATGAAAAATAGTCAGGAGATGCATAGGACAAGTTCTGGGAGGGGTCCAGCTAGGAAGGTTGTTTATAAGTCTTTCTCCAATCCTGATGCCACATTTTCCTTCATATAATCCAGCTTCTCAGACTATTTGCTCAACATACAGAATGAACAACTATGGTAAAAGGAAACATTACTGGCACACACTTCTTGATTTTAACTCATTCAGTGTTCTTTTGTTCTGTTTGATGTATGTATGGGTCTATGTACAGGTTACTCATGAGCAGAATTAAGTGTTCTGCAACACTCATTCTCTTTGATGTTAACCACAGCTTGTCATGATCCACACAGTTAAAAGTCTCTGTATAGTAAATAAAATACAGGTAAATATCTAATACTCTCTGCTTTCTGCCAAGACCCATGTGATGTCAGCAATGATATCCTCATTACACGTCGTCGTCTGAAACTAGCTTGAACCTCCGGCAGTTACCTATTAATGTACAGCCATTAAAAAAAAAAAAAAAATTACTTCTATAAAAATTTTACTTGCCTATAATATTGATGATACATGACTAGCATAGAATGTTGCAATCACACAAATCAATTATAAAATGTATACAGTAGAATATTAACAAATAAAATAATTAATAGCCTTTCCATCTTATTCAAACTCTTTTCAATTTTGTATATGCTTGTCTAGTTTTCCACACAAATGCAAATTTATATGCTATACTTAAAATTCTAGAATCTATTTCATGCATACATTATGTCTGCATAGTTCTGAAAACTATTTTTAGTGAATGGGTAATGTTCCATTGAATTTACATTAACAAACTATTCCCCACTGGTAGCTATTTTGATGGGTTCTCAGTTTTTCTACAGCAGATGACTTTGAAAGAAGTATCTTAGTGCAAAAAAAAACAATTTCTTCATAGTATTTTTATCAGAAAAGTTAACAGTTCCATTACATGACATAGCAGCTCTTTACATACTTCAATATAGCTATTAAAAATTATTAATGAAAAATGTACATAAGAAAATAACATAGAATTAATAGAGAAGCTGTACACAAATGTTCACCACACACCACTCACAATATTTGAAAGGTAGAAACGACACAAGTATCCATCAAACAACTCATTACAATATCCCATTGTAACGTACACACTATATTTTGAGTGGATAAACAAAATGTAGTGTATACACCACAATGAGATATTGTTGTTGTTAAGCATTGTCGAGTTAGTTAAGACTCACAGTGACTCTGTATAGGGTTTCTGAGGAGCAGCTGGTGTGATTAAATTGCCAACCTTGGGGTCAGCAGTCCCGTGCTGATCCTACAGCACTATACCAGGAGTTCAACCACAAAAAGAAATGAAGTATTGATACATGATATGAAATGGATGAACCTTGAAAACTTTATGCTGACAAGTATCATTCTGTATATAAACACTGCATGATTCCACTTATGTGAAATATCTACAGTAGGCAAATGCATAGTTATAAAAGTTTACTGTTGTTGTAGTTAGGTGTCATTGAGTCAGTTCTGACTCATAGTGACCCTATGCACAACTGAATGAAACACTGCCTGGTCCTAAGCTATACTTATAACTGTTGTTATGCTCTATTCAATAAGCACCGGACTGCAAACCAAAAGGTTGATGGTTCAAAACTACCAGTCATTCCATTGCAGAATGATGAGGCTTTTTGACCCCCCAAAGTATTATAGCCTCGGAAACTCTATACAGTTGCAATTTACTAGATGACATTTAACATTTACTGGTCCAGTGGTGTGAATTTTTGTTTTCGTTACATTGATGGACAGCCCATACTGTGGTCCTTGAACTTTGTCAGTAAGTATTTTAAGTCCTCTTTTCTCTCAGAAAGCAAGGCTGTATCATCTGCATATCACAGGCTGTTAGCGAGTCTCTCTCCAATCCTGGTGCCACGTTCTTCTTCATATATTCCAGTTTCTCAGCTTATTTGCTTAACATACAGACTGAAAAGTATGGTAAAAGAATACAGCCCTGGCACACACCTTTCCAGAGTTTAAATCGCTCAGTAGTTACCAAAGGCTGGATGGAGGAATAACAGGGTGGTATTACACTGGACTGTAAGATCATTTCAACTGAAAGATCGGCAGTTCAAACTCACCAGCCGCTCCTTGTAAACACTATACAGGATCTCTGA